ATCTGGATTGATTCAGTTGATCTGGCTGGCTTAGGTAGGTGTCTCCTTACTCCCTCACCACTCCGTGAGGACTCCTTCCTGAGGCAGTATATTCGGTGGAAGAGAGCAACCTTCCCTAATGGAGGAAGCAACTGTTCTTTAGTCAGGAGTCCATGAATAGCTGAGGGTCCCTGCTAGAATTTTTCAACAAGCTCAGCAACTCAGGAACCTGTAGGGAGTACCCTTCAACATAAATGCCAATTCAGAAATAGCTGAAATAATTAATTTGGGGAAGTTAACCCTAAAAATGAGGCCTCAGAGGGACTATATTTGTATAAATAGTACATAAAGTATCACTTTGAGATTAAGCCAAGTAGTACTGTTACTAAATCCAAGTCCATTTACTCATGGCTGAAAAGGGAATCAAAGAAATGAGAACAAGTTGTTAGGCCAAGAAAAAATGATTTATTTGTAATACCAACAAAATGAGAAAAGACTAGGACTTCCCAGGGGAAAAACATTTCAACTCAGTCCAGGTTTCAAGGTCTTTTTTATCCTCAGGAAAGGAGAAATAAATGACTGTAGATTAAGGCACCCCTCCAGTGGTCTGAAATGGAGTATTGTGAAACCTAGATGTTGGTACACACAGAAGCATGGAATTGTGATGCTTCTGTGAACCTTGGAAATATTTTTGGTTGCCTTTGTCTTGTCATTTTCGGCCTCAGAAGGAGAAGTTTCCGTGCATTTCTTGTGCAGCTAACATGACTATGTGCTGAGTTGAACAGAAATCAGACCCAAAAGTTAAGCTAGCAAAAATAGCGTGAACACAGAAGTGACAAGCTTTTCTAAAACCTTGTTTTTGTCACAATTTGTAGCCTCAAATGAAGAATGAGTACTTTCAGCGAAAGTGGACTTCATGTCCCTGAAAAGTAACTTAAGCAAAATGCACACATCAGATTATTATCTACAGCAATGCTAGTGGGAGACTCATATTATTTGGCAGTGTGACCTTCAAATGTAGTGACTTTATTTTCAAGGGTGTTAAATGAACCGCTATTTTTCTCTAATGGGAGTCCAGAAATCATCAGACATTGGAAGAATTTCCTTTTTTTTTAAACTTTCTTTTTATTTAGTCTTTGTGTCTTTCACATCAGGCATCTTGATTCCATTCATCTCCCCATCCCTTCATATCTGCCTTCTGCTCTTGCAACCTCCTCCCCCAAAAAATAAAATAAAATTTGAAAGAAATAAGAGAGAGAGAGAAATCTCATCGTGGAAGCTGTAGTGTGACAGAGTTTATCCTTCTGTCCATACATTTTTACTTGCGGATGTTCATTGCAAAGAGTCATTTCTCTGGTCCAAGGTCTCTGGTTTCAGCTATACCTTAAATACTGGTTGCTCACTGGGGCTCCTCTTGGATGCCCTGTTGTTGCCCTGTGTCATGAAGATCCTGCAGCTTTGGGTCTCCAGGACCGGCACCTTCATACGCTCCAGCAGATCATAGATGGGGTGGATATTAGGGTGGATCATCTCATAACCCTGGTTCTGAGCCTGGGTAGCTATAGGGTTGGCCAGCCTGCTAGATCTCTTGTCCCTTGCCCCTACCACCTACAGCAGATAAGGGAGCTGATCCTCCCTCTCTCCAGCTGCAGCACTCCAGAAAGTGTGCCCTGTAACTTTTCTCGGCAGCACAGTAGACCTGACCTTTTTGACAAGGGTGCAGGGGAAAAACCCTAAGAATGTGAGCCTGGGAGATCTGGTCCCATCCCTCATCTGCCATATGGTAGCACGGGCAAATGAGAGTAATCTTCCATCTCCCCATCCCTTGCTGCCTATGGCAGTTGGGAAATTGGCCCTGAGGTCATAAAAGCAGGAGAGCTGTCCCTGTCCCTCACCAGCTGCAGCACTTGAGAGACTGACCACTACACCTCGCCTAGATAACACAGTAGAGCTGGCCCTGAAGATGTAAAAGTGGAAGAGCCAACCCTGAGAAAACACAAAAGCAGGAGAAATACAGTGACTTTTAAAGCAAGTGAACCAAGGGAGTTTATTCAGCATTTCATTTGGTTAAAATATTTATAGTAAGTTCTTGCCCACTACCACTTCTTCCCTTCTCTTTTGGACTATGTCTCCTTATGTAGATCCAGCTGATTCAGAATCCTCTATGTAGACTAGACTGGTCTCAAACTCAAAGAGGGATGACTGCCTCTGTGTCTGCCTCTACATGTACCTCCTGAGTGCTGAGATTAAAGAGATGCACGACCACAACTGGTTAGCAATACTTAAAGTAAAAGAAGACTTAGAGTATTGATAATACTATGCCATGCTACCTTAACTACACCTACTACATTAGAGTTAACTTACAGAACACTTTCCATATGCTAATCACTATATACTATCTCGTTGACTTGTTTACTCCTCTTATTGATCCTACAGGGTAGGTACTATTATTTTATACAATTTTTTTCATAAAGAAGTTAAGTCACTGAAAAATCTACTAAAGATTACTCACTATGCAGATGGAAGTTTCTGCCCCACCTGGTCCCGCAACCATTCAGTCCCGAAGAAACACACAAAGGCATATATATAAACTATTTGGCCTATTAGCTCAGGCTCATTATTAACTAGCTCTTAGGACTTAAATTCAGCCATCTGGCTTAGTACCTTTTCTCAGTGCAGCATTCTCATCTTGCTTCCTCTACATCTGGCTGGTGACTGCATCTCTGCCTTTCTTCTTCCCAGAATTCTCCTAGTCTGGTCACCCTGCCTATACTTCCTGCCTGGTTACTGTCCAATCAGCATTTCATTAAACCAATATGAGTGACAAATCTTTACAGTGAACAAGAACATTATCCCACAGCATCACTGTATCTCACAGATGGGAAAGGGAAATAACCAAACAAAAAATTCTAGCAGTTTACATGGTATCAAGGGTTCTTACCAAGGCTAACAGGTATTTGTTACTTTATGCATTTTTGTAACATCCCACAGGACAGAGCAAGTGCCAATGTATGTAAACAATAGAGAGTGAGATTTCAACTGAAGACAAGTGTAAATAATCAGTTTCTGTATAAACTTTGAATGTCAAAAACTAAATGGAATGTCTTAGCCACTGTACATTGTTCACAGGATGTAAAGAGAATAATGACAGGAATGAAAACATTAATGAATTTGGAATTCTCTAAAAAAGAAACCACACAAATGAAAAATAAACCCTTCATGATAGACTAAAGAAAGCACAGGTGAACTTGATTTTAAAGACACACAGCACAGAAAAAAATGGAAAATCCAAAAATTTTGGATAAACTATACAAGTAAATTAACTTGTATTTCAATACAAACTAAGTCCACAGTAAAGCAATAAAAAGTTAATAAAACTGGATATTTCACATGTGAATTTCTGTTCAGAAACATAGTAAATAGCCAATGTTTTGACAAAGAATAAATTTCAAAATCCTCACAAATTTGATATTTCAAATATGAATTTATGTTCAGAAAGATCTCAAAACTGCTTAGGTTTAGAAAAAAAGTAGATTTCAGAACTCTCACAGATCTGATGCCTAGTTACCCTGGAAGTATAAAACAGAAAAAAAAAAAGAGTTCCCTCTCTGGAAGAAAAATCTGCATAAGGAAGTGGCATTCATGCTTTTTAGATAGGTGAGAAGTAGGCTTCAGGTTAAAGATCATAAAAAGGTACAGGCCAAAACATGTACCATTTGTGACAACAACAAACTATGTATACATGATTTTAATCCTGCTATTATGTGGTCAGCTGAGTTATTACATAGTTTAATACACAATGTCTTATCTGTTGCATCTATCTTTTGGGGTTCGGCTACCTCAAGACCCAAATATTTGTTGGTTTAACAAATTAATGTCAGCCTTTTCAACCACAAGACCGAAAGTTCATTATTAAGAGTTTAGGGTTTCTGTGAAATCTATTTCTTCCACTATGAAATGAGGGTGATTTATACGGAGGGGAGAATAATAACACATTGTGCACTAAGTGCTCTCCCACTTCACAGAACAAAAAAGTTCTCTTGACTATTGTAGATGGACACATGCGTGTTTTGATGTATATCAAAGTACAGTCATTAGATTTACATACTTTATACACTTAAGAGGTGTAGAATTGGATGCTGACTAATTTATCCTAGACTTTCTATTTATGACATAGTTGACGGGCTCAAAAACAAAAAAAAAAGAGTTGGAAAGAAAAATGAAAGATTAACTATCATGGAAATGACAGGATATTAGAAAGGTGAAGTAATGGGGATGTAGGTTAAGCACAAAAATCAGTATTTGAGGGGTATTTTTTTCAGATTCATTTACCTTATGTGTGAGTTTTACTGGATGTGTGTCTGTGCACTATGCGTGTGCCTGCTGTCGTTGGGGGTAGGATACCTAGAAACAGTTATGGGGGGTTGTGAGCTCCTGCGTGGGCGCTAGGAATCACACACAGTTCCTCTGCAAAGACAAGTACTCTTACGTGCTCAGCCATCTGTCCTGTGCCCTTGAAAAGTTTTGTTTTGTTTTGCTGCCAGAATTTTGCTGTGTAGTTCAGAGTGACCTGGTACTGGCTATGGAGAGAGAACAGGTTGCCCTCTCATTTGAGGCAATTCTATTGTCTCTGTACCCCGAGTGCTGGGATTACAGGCATCTGTCATGTTGCCGATACTGACCACGTTAACTTGGTTTATGGGGGTGGAACAGTGACATTTCAGTGCAGGGTCTAAAGGAAAGGGGACACCTGAAGTCTCAGTAGCTGAGTGGAAAGTGAGACTGAGACATAGCTTTGGCGATGCAGTGGGAAAGAGGTAACCCTGGGGAACAAGATGCCAGTCCTCTCTAGCAACCCAGAAAAGGCAAATAAAGGGGGGGAGTGTAAGTGAAAATGTCCGTTGTGTCTGAGGTCAAAAGATTCTGGCAAATGGTGCCAAATTGTCGCCAAAGTGGTTACTAGGGATCTGAGCCTGGGAGTGATGCGCGCCCCTCATGTGACCAGGAGCCTACATCTGCCCAAGTCCCTCTCGTCCCAGTCATTTTTGCCTGTCCAGACACCGTCTTTCTATTACCCTTTGGTCGAGAAGGAAAGCAGAAGTAAGTAAGTTCCCTGGATCCTCTAGATTTGGTGATTGTCAGAGGTGACTTGTAACCAGCGGGATCGTACCTGCATGGCAGAATCCGAGCTTCCACTAACCTCCAGCCCCGCCCCCTCCCCCTCCCCCCCTCACAATTTCGGTGCAGAAAATGGTGGTCTTGGGAGTGGGGTGGGGTACAAAGGATGATGTTCTATGTGAGGTCTGAGGAAGGTGAACCCCAAGGGATCTGTCTCTGGGTTAGCTGATCCCCCACAAAAAGGGGTGTGCATCACCGGGTCCGCTTCTCCCCCTATCCCCGCCCCGTACTCTGTCTGGCGTCTATTTGTAGATTTTCGGGTCTCACGCAGGCTCCTCAAAAGGGGCCACACGGGCCGGAGTCGGGGTAAGGTTGGGCAGTGGGACAGGATTGGGGGGTGGGGGGGCGGACTGAGACCGAACTCGGAGGGGAACAGTTCGCAGACCTCACCGCTCAGCCCCGGTTACTGCAGGAGAGGCCTTGTGGCAAGGCCTGCCGGGAAAAATGGTGGTCTTTCGTGAAGGAGGGGCTGCTCCGCAGCCGCAGGCGGGAGAGCCTAAGAGTCTGGGAGTAAGCTAAGGTTTAAAACCACCCGCTCAATCGGGCAAAGGCAGGGATTGAAACTCGGAGCCAGGGTGTTTATGCAGCCCACCAAGTATTGTGACTCTGGTCTGCTTTTTCTTGTCTCAAGAACAGCTGCTTGAAGAAGAAAATTCTCAGCATGGAAAACTCGGGCAAAGAATATGAAGAACTAACACAGAGCACTCAGACCGAGGAAGAGCAGCCTCCTGAAAATCAGTTCTCCGAGGAGGAGCAGTCCTCAGAGGATCTGTCCTCCGAGGAGGAGTCCTCAGTTGAGGAGTTCTTTCCTGAAGAGCTGCTGCCAGAGGTGCTGCTGTCGGAAGATCGTCCTCCGCAGGAGTGCCTCTCGCACAAGAACCTATTCGAGGGCCATCCAGCCATGGAGCAACCTCCCTGTGGGTTGGGCGAACACAAGCTAGAGGAGGGAAGTTTCAAAGAAAGGCTGGCCCGTTTCTGCCCTCGGTTCAGAGGAGTCATCCATGGCAGAAATTTAAGCAATGAAGAAATGATACAGGCAGCGATGAGTTGGAAGAGATGAAGCGAGTACGAAATAAACTGATGATAATGCATTGGAAGGCAAAACGGAACCGCCCTTACCCTATTTAATGTGTTCCACCTTTCTTTGTTTTGCTTGATAAGAGTATTGCTCCCTGAACTCATCTTCTTACATGCCTTTTTCTTTCTTAGTTGTAATTTTTTGTGCAGTTTTATTTCAGGTATTTGACTTGTAACTGGCACAGGATTCCTTTTATTGTTTTTTTCTTTAACGTTCTAAAATCCGAGTCCGATCCATTTGCATGGAAAGAGAAACATTATATATGTGAGGTGATAAAAGCAAAAGGTATATACATAAATAGCATCCCATTTTTGTAATAGTAAAACACATTTATATATTAATATGCAAAGAAAAGCTTAAAACTATATACTTAAAGGCTAACTGACATTGGTTATCTGTGTGGTAAAGGATAATAGGTGATTTTTATATTTTTTAAATTTTGCTTTATCTAAAGTCTCACTTTTCATGATGAATACATTTTATTTATGTTGCTTAACAAACAATGTAGTGAAAATGTGAAGCAATTCTAAAAAAACAAAACTTGCTAGTCAGCTTATAAAGACAATGTGATCCTTAATAAATATTTATCAGAACTTAAAAGTTAATACTATGTTTCTTCTGAATCTTTTTCTAAGATTTTTTTATTTTATTTTATGTGTATGGGTGTTTTGCCTACACCAGGTGTATGCGTAGTGCCTGTGGAGGTCAGAAGAAGATATCCGAGCCTCTGGAACTAGAGTTTCAGATGGTTGTGAGCCCCCATGTGGTGCTGGGATTTGAACCCAAGTCCTCTGGAAAAGCAACACATGCTCTTAACCAGTGAGCCATCTCCCTAGCCCCTCTTCTGAATCTCTTAGGCAGAAATATAAATGAGCTCTTTACTATCAGTAGGAAAAACATTTTCCAAGTTAAATACTAGTAAAAAAAAAAAAAAAACCTTCCAGAGCTGCTGGGAAACTAAGAGGAAAAGATCCTTTGAACTCTTTTTTTTTTTCTGTAGGTCCTTCCAATCTCTAGAGAATCCTTTGGAGCACAGGAGAATAAGAACTAAAGAAATCTCTCTTGTGCTCACCCAAGATTCCTGTGAGATTCCAAGTGAGTGCCATAGTCTGTTCATGCTCTGCTGTGCTCATATGCATTGCCATACCTACCAGGCCTAGCTGCCCTTGCTGCTAGATCCTGATGTTTCCACTGGACCATATTCTGCAAATATCCTCACGGTGGAATACCAGGTTTGTAATCCCTAGTGAGCCACAACTGTAGTGTGCCTCCTCTGTATCTATGGAGAATATTCTTTCCTCCAGCTTTACTATTAAACACACCCAAGTGTATATAGTCACAAGGCTGTTAAGGCTTTGATACAGTAAAAGAATGCATAATTTTTTTTAAGATGCTAGGCAAAATGGCTCATTCCATGATTTTTTTTCTCTTAAAGTCTCTTGTTCCTTCCTGTACTCAAGCATGAGGTCACAGAGACCTGGGATAGGAAGTCAGATTTGTAAGATGCTGTGTGATTAGAGTAGAAACTCCCTTTCCACATAACCAAGGTTAACTGTAATCTCAATCGCCTTATCGACCTTAGAGTGTGTTTTCTCTCAGGAGCTTCTTGCATAATTGCCTCATCTATTCAGTTAACAGGTGTAAAGTAAAGAGGAAGATAGACGTTAATGCCCATGTGATAGTAAATGAAGCCTGAAATCCCAACTCTTGGGAAGTTGAGGAAGAGGGTTGCCTCAAGATGGGGGCCAGACTGGGCTACACAGTGAGTTCTAGGCCAGTATGAGTGAGACTCTATGTGAAAAATAAATCAAAACAAAGTCTCCCAACAAAATACAAACTGGTACATTCCTGTCTTTAATAGTATATGGAAAACAGTAGGCAGGCAGTTCTCTGTAAGTTCAAGACTGCTCTGCTCTACATAGTGAGTTCTGCGTCAACCAGAGCTACACAGTGAGGTCTTGTCTCAAAAATGTCTCAAAAATGTGAATAACAAATATTAAAAATATTGTATTAATACATGTAAAACTGAAATAAAATATTGGAAATATGTTATATATTCACAAAAGAAACACCTCAGTTTATCTATTGGAAAATGGTCAAATAAGTTAATCCACATGAGAAGCAATGAAAATCCTATAGAAAATAAGCACACATGTATACTATTTTCCATATACAAAACGCAATCATAGATGGCATTGTATATGTGTATATAACATGCATACATATAAATGTATATTAATAGGATCTAACTGACACTGCATTAAAAATGCCACATCCTGTATTTCATCCATTGAAACATTTTTTATGGACAGCACGGTAGAGATGACCTTAGTGCGTGGGGATTGCACGGGGGGGGGGGCAGTGGAAAGGTGAGCTTGAGAGATCTGGTCCCGCCCCTCATCTGCCTTATGATGGTGTGGGAGGGGAGAGATGCCCCTCAGGGACTGTGGCAGGTGGGAGAGCTGTCCCTGCCATTCACCAGTTGCAGCACTTGGGAGAGTGGTCCCCATACCTTGCCTGAAGGTGTAGGTGTGGATGAGCTGACCCCGAGGGAAAGCACGAAAAATGGCCCTGCCATTCCCTCATCACTGTTAGGCTTGAACTAGCCAGGGCAATGCTGGAGAACATATCTTAGAGGCGAGGACAGGGTAGAACTAGCAGGCTCACCAACCCTGCAACTACCCAGACCCAGAACTAGAGTTATGAGTTGGCCCATGCCAACATCCACCCTAGCTATGATCTGCCAGAGTATGTGAAGGTGCTGATCCTGGAGACCCAACACTGAGCAGCAACAGGATATCCAAGAGGAGCCCCAGTGAGGGCTCGGCATTGACAGTGTAGCAGAAACCAGAGGCCTTGAAGCAGACCAATGAATGACTCTTTGCCTAAACATATATGGACAAAAGGGTATACTGTGTGACTCACTGTGTCACGCTACAGCTTCCATGACGAGATTTTTCTTTTTTATTTCTCTTAAATTTTATTTTATTTTTAGGGGTGCGGAGGTTGCAAAGGGCAGAGGGCAGATGCAAAGGTACAAGGAAATGAATGGGATTGAGAGTCATGGTGTGGAAGACACAAGGAATAAATAAAAAGGAAGTTCAAAAAGAAATATTTTAACCCAATAATATGTCCTGAAAATCCGCACATTGCATATGAACCTAGTACAGATATAAATGATGTGTATGTTGCATACTCTGAACATATTGTAGTTTATTACAGTGGCCATTCATTTTTAAAATTTGTATTAAATTTGCTCTCTGACAATTTCAAACAGACATAAAAATGCATTCTGATTACTAAAACTCTCCACCTTCTCCAGTCTCACTTCTACCTCTATTAATCATCCTTCTTTCCTCCACGTTTTTTTTTTCATTCCAAATGTTCCTTTTTCGTTTTTGAGAACCATGGAGTTTATCCAGGATCATCCGTGTTACCTTTGGCATGGAACTATCCACTGGGGCCTCATGAGCTCATCATTGAGTGAAGACAATGACTTCCCTTCACCGGAATCCATCAGTAGCCAAGAGTTTATCAGGGAAAGGGAGGACATTCCCTGGTCTATGAGCAACTGTTGACAGACCTACTACTATGTAGACCTAGAGCATATAAGCACAGAGGTTGTGAAGTCATGCCTGAAATTGACTTTGCCCTGCCCAGAAGTTTTCACAAACATTCTTCTCATTTTTGAAACAGAGTTTTTCTGTGTAGCCCTGGCTGTCCTGGAACTTACTCTGTAGACCAAGCTGGAAGGTTTATTTTATTATTTTCATCTCTGTCTTGCTCTGTGTCTCTGTCTCTCCATCCATATCTGTCTCTCATGCTCCCTTTCTCTCTCTCTCTCTCTCTCTCTCTCTCTCTCTCTCTCTCTCTCTCCTATGTGTGTGCTGGTGCCCACAGAGGGCAGAGGAGGATTTGGATTCTCTGAAGTGGAATTTACAGTCAGCTGTGAGTCACCTGACAACATGGGTGCAGAGAACTAAATTCAGGTCCTCTCAAAGAAAAGCAACTTCTCTTAACTTCTGAGCCATCTCTCTAGCACCATTCTCTTCCAGCTTTTATGTTCTTTCTGACCCCTTTTCTTGGATGATCACTGACTACTGGATGGGGTGTTATGGATGTTCTGTTTAAGGCTGAGTACTTTGAGCACACAGGTGTTATTCACCACCACACAATAGCCAGTCCTGATTATACTTCCTTGTATTTTTTATTTATTTCTCCCTGTATAATATGTCTTTGTTCAAGCCCCTGCATCTGCCTAGAAGGTCCTCACCCCTTCTGTTCAGCAAAATCCCATTCAGTCAGTCCCAGAGGATATCCCTAACAGTCACCAAACCAAGTTGTTAAGTGTTCTTTCCTGGCACTTCTAACGCACCAAGCACCTTAAACTTTCATTATTATTGTTGTTGTTATGTGTCGAAATTATTTTAGGCATCTACTTTCTCTGTAAATCAGTGCGCTTCTCAAAGAATCCTGTCTCTTGCTCCCTAGCACACCCAGGACATAGCGCAGAGCAAATAGTCATTAAATATAATCTCCTTGAACCAGATAGTCTGATGCTATCTCCTCCACTCCAACCTCAGCTACCCACATCTCAGGCTGCGGTTGGTTATTCTGGGTCTTTAGTGAGTTCCTGGTATACAAAGTAGCTGTATAATGCACTAGAGCACAGCAATGAAAGCCACCCTGGAGCAAATACTTTCCTTTGAGACTATCTGGATTCCAGGAAAGGTGGTAGAAACCTGCCTGGAGGACATTTTCATACAAATCAAATGGTGCTTTTGTTATCTCACAATAGCTGAGTCATCTCACTAAATCATAGAGGCCAGTTATTGGAAAGGCATAGTGGTGGTACAGAATAGACTTTAGTGTAATGAGCTAAGTGATCAGACCTGGCTGCATGATCATCTTAAGGAACACCCATGCTAACAAATTCACGTGAAGATCTTATGTAAGAACTTTAAATTGCTGGTTGTTATTTCATATGTATGAGTATTTCTTGTATGTGTAGGTGTGTACCACATACATGCAGTGACTGCAGAGACCACAGAAGGACATTAGAATCCCTGGAACTGTGGTTACAGAAGGTTTTGAAGTGCTATATGGGTAGTGGGAATCAAACCTGGGTCCCTCTTCAGCAAATGCTCTTAACTGCCGAGCCATCTCTCCAGAACCGTATTTCAGAACTTTTATGGCAGTGGAATTTAGTCACTGATGAATCAGTGCCAGGGCACGCATTAATCAGGCAGTGGTCCATTTCTGAGGCACATCCTGATATTATCTGAAGGTCACCAGATGGTCTGGGTCC